ACCATCTAACATACTGGGGAGATTAAGGCATGTTACAAAGTAACTAGAAAAAATGCAAGTACCAGATTTATGGCCAATGTTGTAGCATACCTGGTAAAGCTGCTGCCTGCAACACCGGCATTCCACATGGCCGCTGGTTTGTGTCAGGTTGCTCCACTTCTGAGCCAGTTCCTGCTGATGGCCTGAAAAAGCAGCCAAAGATGGCCCGCATGTTTGGGCCCCTCCCACCCATGTGGAAGACCTGGAAGAAGCTCCTGGCTCTTGGCTTTGGCCTGGTCCTGCCTTGGCCATTGTGGCCATCTCGTGGAGTGAACCAGGATGTAGAGCTCTCGTGTATCTCTCTCTCTCTCTTTCTTTCTCTCCCTCTCTCTCTCCCTCCCTATTTCAATTAAATAAATCTTTAAAAAAAATTTTAAAGTACACAATGCACTGACTAGTGGAGGAAAAAATCATATCAAATTGTAAGAACGTTTATGACTGTACAAAAAGAGGACAGACTTCAGCCTTTAAGGATGCATGCAGGTGAGTAGACCCCGTGGAAGGACAGACATACAGGCCTTATTCTCATTTGGGGTTCTTCATCTGAACAGATCACCGTAAATGATGTGCCTATTTTCTCAGTTCTCCCAAGAATGATACATACTTAGTACTCTCTAGAAGCACAAGACAGAAATAGGAGGAAAGTTAATTTATTACTTGCAGTGGATGTCTTACAGCAATGGTTCTCAAACTTAACATAACTCAAAACCACCTCTTTAGAGGACTATTCTTTGGGGCACAGCCTAGAGTTTGACTCTGAAGTGAGAAGCAAGAATGCATAAATCCAACAAATTCATAGTGACAGTAACTTTTATTGCAGGGATTACATCTTCAAAACCCTTGCCTTAGGGAACTAAGACTTAATTCTCTTGTGGAATTCTGGTCAAGAAAAGCTGATATAAGTACACTTTCAATTTGAAAATCATTTATGCATTTTAATAAATACAAAAAAAAGAGAGACCAATTAGAAGCAGCAGCATCACCCTTATTTCTATTCAAGATGTTCTTGGCCTGTTTACTAGTTTTTTTATTCAGCAACAAATGGAATATTCTTGGCTATTATTTATGTAGAAATGTATGCAAATCTAGTAACCTACACGTGTTGTAAAGACCAAAGTCATGCCAAATGCATTCAAAAGAGGTGAGTTAAAACAATGATTCTTCAAGCTTCTATAAAGGACGGAGGTTCTTCGAATGGATAGCACTGATCCTTTCTTTTTTATTTTTTTTTTTTTTTTTTTAAGAATTATTTGAAAGGCAGAGTTACAGAGAAAGGGAAGACAAAGAAAGCTCTTGCACCCACTAGTCACTCCCCAAATAGCAGCAATGACCAGGGCTGGACAACACCAAAGCCAGAGGCAGGCGCATCATCAGGGTCTCCCACATGGGTAACAGGGTCACAAGTACTTGGGTCATCTTGTACGTTTTCCTAGGCACATTAGCAGGAAACTGAATAGAAGCAAGGCAGCCAGGATTTGAACCAGTGGTCATATGGAATGCCAGCAAACCAGGCAGTGGCTTAACCCACTGTGCCACAATGCCGGCCCCCTATCAATGCATTCATGTCAAAGCTAGTCTGGAGTGATTCATTTTGGGTGGCCTCTTGGTAATGTAGACCAAATATCGAAGGAAATGTTTTTAACAGTGACAAGTCAGCAATACATTTCTGACTCATTCTGAGATATTTTTCTTTTACAGTTGCACTACATGACAACTTAGTTGGGTAAAAACCATTGGGCCTTAATACTCCATTTAACAGATTTTTCAAACCCATTGACATATGGCACTTTGGGTAAAAGAAATCTGAAGTGAGATTTCTGTTCTTCTGCATATAACTTGGGTTCACAAACTCCTTCATTCTGACTCTTAAACACTTTGCAGTTGGCTTTTTTTTTCTTGAAGGTTTTAATCCAGAAAAATTAACCTGAGGTTTATTTAGGTATGGGTCTCTTTCTGTTATTATCTAAAATGCTGTTTCCTTTCCACATATCAAGGTGGGAATTTTTGTTTTACTTAAAATAAAAGAAAGTCTTCATCATTTCTGTTCCAAGTGTTTGATTTACATTATATGAAGTAAATACCTTTGTTAGGTTCCCAGAATCTCTCTTCATAGGCAAAACCACAAAACACTTGTTATCATTTTTTTAAAACATTCTATGAGAGCTTTTCAAGTTTGTCCTCTACATGCACAAAGTCCTACATATAAATTAACTTTAACTCTTTCTAATCTACTGCATTTTCTAATCTACTGCATTCTAAATGGCATGTCAGCTATCATTGCTAACCATCCTTATATTATCTGTTCCCCTTGGAACTGGTATCTCTTTATCTGAGCTTGTTGACTCTTCACAGTTTTCTTCCCTGTTTTACTGGAGTCACATTGATTTTACAAGATGTAGATACACCTACTGTTCTTTTGGTTTTTTTTTCACCATTTTTTTAAGATTTACTTATTTGAAAGGCAGAGAGTCAGACAGGGAGAGACAGAAAGAGGAAGAGGGTAGGAGAAAGATCTTGCATCTGCTAGTTCATTCCCAAAGCAGCCACAATAGCCAGGATTGGGCCAGACCAAAGCCAGACCCAGCATCCCAAAGAGGTGACCGCCAGGGGAGAGTACTTAGGCCTTTAGCAGCTGCCTTCTCAGGCACATTAGCAGAAATGCTGCATTAGAAGCCAGCACTCAAGTTAGTACCGTAATACAGGATGCTGGCATACAAGAAGTGGCAACTTGCTTAAGTTCAATGCTGGGCCCTGCCCACTGTTTTTGATTTATCTCTTATTTCATTCATATTCAGAGATAGCTCTTCCTTCAACACTTTATTCTCTTTCCTGTTCTACAGTGTTGGTTCCACAGAACTTTCATTTCCCCATGTTAACACTTGCTTGACAAAAAAAGCACAACCTACACATACTTGGTATTCATTAACAAGCAGAGAGGAACAGACTAGACTTGATTCTGTTTCCTACCCACACTGCTAGTGGAATCCCCAAAATGATGTGCAAGATCTAAGCAATCCCCAATGTCCAAGACTTCACTTAAAGTGGTTCTACTTGAACAAGAGAGGGATTTCTTAACTTCTAAACAACTAAATCTCTGAAACATTGAACAAGTATAATTTTTCAAAGTTCACCCACTGGCCTCCTACTACCTACCTACCCAAGTCTTACCTGTTCTTGGGACTCAGAAACACTACCCAAAAACATGGCACCTTAGAAGTCTCCTGCTTTCGCCCACTTTCTATGGGAAACTCGGGCATAAAGGAATTCCTTTACCTAACTCTAGAAGTACATCATTGGGCTTTCATGTGACAGGTGTCCTGCCCTATTATAAGAAAAGGAATGATATAGAGGTGCCAAGAAGAATCTGAATAAACAAACAAGCCTGGCCACATTTTTCCCAGTTATCATTGGATCATACTGTTTTTGTTCAATCATACTTTTGGATGATTGTCTATTCTTAATCAAACCTAATTACAGAAATATAGCTTTTCTTGAGTCTGCAGGTCTTTATTTCAGAAGACTCTTGTGTCATGTAAAACTGATTAAACATGCTTCAAGATCTCTTGTTAATCTTTTATGAGAGGGATGTCAGCTTGATCTTTTTGATAAACTAAGCAAAAGATCATAGTTTTTCTCCTCTATACTATCTTTCTAAGCTCACTTTTTTTTTTAAACTGTTTATTTTAATAAATTTAAATTTCCAAAGTACAATGTTGAATTATAGCAGCTTTTTCCCCCCCCTAACCTCCCGACCATCTGCAACCATCCCATCTCCCCACTCCCTCTCCCATGCCATCACAATCAAGATTCATTTTCAATTATCCTTTATACATAGAAGAAGATCAAATTTAGTATATATAAGTAAATATTTCAAACAGTTTGCACCCACATAGAAACACAAAGTATATAGATATACTCAAAATAGTATATAAATAACTATACTCTCTATAATCTATACTCTAATAGTATATAAACTTTACTATTGGTGCTAGTTATACTTATTCACATAGTACAACACATTAAGGAACGAGATCCTACATGGGGAGTAAGTGCACAGTGGACTCCTGTTGTTGATTTAACAATTGACCCTCTTGTTTATGGCGTCATGTAATCACCCTAGGCTCTGTCATGAGTTGCCAAGGCTATGGAAGCCTTTTGAGTTCGCCGACTCTGATCTTATTCCGACAGGGCATAGTCAAAGTGGAAGTTCTCTCCTCCCTTCAGAGAAAGGCCCTCCTTCTCTGATGGCCCGTTCTTTCCACTGGGATCTCATTCACCAGAGACCTTTCACTTTATTCACCGTCTACTCCATGAAGCCCTTCTCCTGTCAGGAAGACCCCTCACTCTTTGAAGATCTATCTTTGTGAGAGTCAGGCCATACAATTGGCCACTTGCTCTGTAATTATTTCATGTCTTCTCCACCTCCGTATCAAGGCACTTATAGACTTCTTTGATATAGCACAGAGGCAGAGTAACTACTTCTCAACGGACAGAAATGAAGCTTAGCAAATACCATGGACGACCCAGGCGATTTCCCACCGAGGAGAAATTTTGTTAAATAGATACAATTTTGGCAACCACATCTCCACTACTGCAGAGTCTGTGAAAAATCTCAACGTTCTAGTTTCTTTACTGAAAACCATTGTTAGCAATCAATTTGGAAGAAGAAAATATATACACACATATTTCTTAAAATGCAATTTGCTTTAAAAAGCTTATTAATTCAACAAGTTAAAATAATCTATCACATAAGTAAGACATAAGAGGAGTCTTTTGGGTTTAGACAGTATATAATTGCTATAAGTCAATATTATATCAAAAATCTGACAAACCAAAATCCACACAAGTTTGTGTCAATGGGTTCTATTGTATAACATCACTTCACTTCTGTTTAGTAGCTAGTAGCTTATTTTTAACATAATTCACTCATACCAACAATGAGAGCCAAAAAGCCTACTTACCCCACCATTGTAATTCCATCATAAGTGCAACATATGGTTTCTGGCAACGAGCTAAAGAAATAGAGTTGAAATTAGTTGTAGTGCTTAAAATTACTCACTTTCATCAAAAACTCATGATATATGAATGTTTTTTCCCTAGAATATTTTGCAAGAAGTATCAAAGGCAACTAAATATATGCCTTCTGAAATATATTATTTTTCAAATGTGAATCTATTTCATTTAACAGCTCAATCTACAACTTGAAACAAATGAAACTTTCTGTAACTCAGCCACTGAGAAATATAGTTATCATCTTCCTTGTAACTCACCAATATTGTGGACCACCATTATATTATAAACAAAATATTTGGTTTTCTATATACCCAAGAAGTACCTGGAGGGGGCCAGTGTTATGGTACAGCTGAGTACAAATTGCTTGCAATGCCAGTATCCCATACCATAGGGCTGTTTCAAGCCCCAGATGCTGCATTTGCCCGTACAGCTCTCTGCTAATAGCCTGGGAAAGCAACAGGAGATGGCCCAAATGCTCGGGCCCCTGCCACCCATGTGGGAAACCAGAATGGAGTTCTGGCTCTCCTGGCTTTCAGCCTAGCCCAACTCCAGCTGTTGTGGCCATCTGGAAGTGAATCAGCTAGTGGAAGATATCTCTCTCTCCTTCTCTCTCTCTGCCTTTCAAATAAATAAATAAATCTTTAAAAAAAAAAAAAAGTATCAGTATACATACTGAGGATTAGAGTATACAGAAACAAACATGGACTGGGAGTTAGAAGGCCCAGAATTGATCTTAGGTCAACAGGGCATTAAATGAAAGAGATATATGGGTTATATAAATGAGTACAAATGCTCCTTAAGTTACAATGCAGTTTTGTTCCAATAAGCCCATTTTAAGTGAAAATATTACAAGTCAAAATATGTTTAATAGACCTACCTACCATTAAGCTTAGCAACACAATACACTGTATAGCATCAGTGCTGACCCTTAGGGCATACGCAACTGACTGGGAGCTGAGGCTTCTCTCCGCTGGCCGGAATCACAAGAGTATCACATGGACATGATTATCCCAAGAAAAGAACAAAAGGTGAAACACAGTTTCTACTGAATGTTTACTGCTTTTGGACCATGACAGAGCTGAATTTTTTTTTTTTTTTTTTTTTTTTTTTTTTTTTTTTATTTAACAGATAGAGTTAGTGAGAGAGAGAGACAGAGAGAAACATCTTCCTTCCGTTGCTTCACCCCCACAAATGGCCACCATGGCCGGTGCTGCACCGATCCGAAGCCAGGAGCCAGGTGCTTCTTCCTGGTCTCCCATGCGGGTGAAGGCACCCAAGTACGTGGGCCATCCTCCACTGCACTCCCAGGCCACAGCAGAGAGCTGGACTGGAAGAGGGGCAACCGGGACTAGAACCCGGTGCCCATATGGGATGCCGGCGCCACAGGCGGAGGATTAACGAAGTGAGCCACTGCACCAGCCCAAGCTGAAAAATTTTAAGTTGAACTATCTTAAATCCTGAACTATCTGTATACAATAAGATGATATTTATGTAAATTTTAAACACAAACTATACTCTTTTAGTTAATACATATGTAGTGAAAATACAAAATAAGGACCAGGAGGATCCACTACCAATTAATGACAATGGTCGTCTTTTGAGGAAGAATAATGGTTACTTCTGGTGAAAGAAAAGAAGGGCACTGAAGAAAGCAACAAAATGGACACAACCGTAACTTTAAAACGTGTAATACTATATTTCTTTTAATGAACTTTAAAACATCAAGACAAACATAATACTGATACCTGTTAATTATGAACTGGTGAGTACACAAGTATTTATTATGTTATTCCTTATAACTTTTGAAATACATGCTTGATAAAAGTAAATATGACTTCACTGCCACTGAAGCTGTAACCTTGGCTTCAAAGAAATTTTTTTTCAGAGTTCTTTAAGAATTAGAAAATGATGCTTCGTTCTATAAACAAAACTGGGTCCCACATTGTATTTTTTCAAGAAAGCCAAATGTATGATCAGTAATTTATATTTTCTAAGATTTATTTATTTGAAAGGCAGAGTTACGGGGTGGGGAGAGGGCAGGGAGATATCTTCCATCCACTGATTGATTCCACAAATGGCAGCAACTGCCAGGGCTGGACCAGGCCGAAGCCAGGAGCCTGGAATGTCATCCAGTTCTCCCATGTGGGTACAGGCGCACAAAGACTTGGGCATCTTCCACTACTTTCCCAAGCACACTAGCAGGGAGCTGGATTGGAAGTAGAGCAGCCAAAACTCAAACCCAGCATCTATTATGGGATGCCAATATTACAATAAGCAGCTTAAACCCATTGCAGCACAATACTGGCCCCCAAAATCCATATTTTCATACTGATTTTATGACAAAGAGTAGTTAAGTACAGCCTACTAATATTAAAGTGTAACTGTCATGGACTACACAGAATAATTTAATCAATTATATTTATGCCCAGGACATTGTATAAGCACATAAAGATTTAAATAAGAGTGTCTACTGATAATAATTTAACAAATTATATTGTCCATTTCTTTCTTGATTCCATTTTCAAAGCTCCAAGCAGAATATACATACCAATAGCATTATTCAGCAAATATTCCTCTCTGAAGAAATCTTGACTCATCTTCTGTTTTGCCTTTGCAGCTTCTGAGATCACTAAGGAAGGAAGGAACACACTCATAAAAGGTGTTTTACAGAGGGCAGACAGGTGACCTACTGTCTAGGACACTCCTTGGGACACCCACATCCTATACCTGATTCAAGTCCTGGCTCTGTTTCCAATTCTAGCTTCCTGCTAATGTGCACCCTGGCAGGCAGCAGATATTAGCCAGAAAACCAATTCTGATGTCTGCTGTAGAACTGCCTACTTGCTTGTTGTACAGGGAAAAACATCCACACATCTGTTGTCAGAGGAATCTGTGCTGTGACACTAGCAGAAACTGTGTTTGAATTGGGGTTGGTTTCTCCGTCTATACTCATGGACTTACTATATCTTATAACACTTCTTGGAAAATGATATGGTTAAATTACAAATTATATATTGCAACAAACTGCATTTTCTTTTGACTTTTTTCCTCTGGCATCTGAACAAACATTTTCAAGATATACCCTTCTTTGGCAATATATCATAACATAAAGTACATTACACATGTTTATGTGTGTGTGTATATATATATATGTATGTGTGTGTGTATATATATATATATATAGTATATTTTATCTGGTTAAATATTTCTGCCACATTTATTTCACCAAAAAACATTTATTGAGCACCTACTATACACTAACCACTATTTCTGGAGCTACAGATAACAGGATAGCAATGTAAGATGATTACCCTAGAGTTCACAATAATAAGAAAAACAGGCTATTAAAATACTTTGTGCTGTATCAGCACATATGAATATAAAGGATGGGGTGCTTTGGGAAAGAAGGCTTCCCTAAAGAGGTAAGCCTAACCCAGCCTGAAAAAATAAACAGGAATTTTATAGGAAATGATAGGAAGAGGCTCAAGTAGAGGCACCAATACCTATAGAGGCATGGAGGAAGGAAGGAAGGAAGGAAGGAAGGAAGGAAGGAAGGAAGGAAGGAAGGAAGGAAGGAAGGAAGGAAGGAAGGAAGGAGAGGAAGGAAGGAGAGGGGAGGGAGGGGAGGGGAGGGGAAAGAGAGAGAGAAAGAAAAAGAAAAGAAGAGAAAGAGAAAGAGGAAGAGGAGAGAAAAGAAGAAAGTCAGGAATGAAGTAGTATTTATGTATGTATTTACTTGATGGGAAGGAGGGACAGAAGAAGTAAAAGAGGGAGAACAGGGACAGGGAAGGAGAGAGAGGGAAGAAAAAACAAAAAAACAAAACAAGAATGTTCACACTCTCCAGTTCACTCCTCAAATACTCCTAAAGGAGAGGGCTGGACTGGGGCCGGGCTACAGCTGAAGCTAGGCACTCAGGGGTCTCCCACAAGGGTGGCAGAAACCCAATTACTTGAGACAGCACCTGCTGCCTCCCGGTGTCTGCACTGGTGAGAAGCCACTGAACCCAGGCATTTCAGTATGGGATGCAAACTCCTTAACTGCAAGGCTAAAAGAATACCCTATGAATCAAGTAGTTTCAAGACTAAAGGGTAATGGTAAAGTTGAGGCTATAGAGGTATTTATTATTTATGTAAGTAGAACAAATTTCATGTATTTCACAAATAAAGATTTAGAGCACAATGATACTTCCCAACCCAGACTCCCTCCTGCCCATGCTCCCATCCCCCCATTTCCTTATTTTCCTTTTAAATTTTACAGTGACAAATTTTTAGTTCATTTCATAATCATAACCTTAACTATCCACTAACAAAGAATTCAACAAGTAGTATAGTAGCAACCATTCTTCTCAAGAGTATAGGCAAAGACTGTAAACAAAAATAAAATCAGAAATGTCAAATTTGCTCACATACTTTTTCTTTTTTTTTAACTTTTATTTAATGAATATAGATTTCCACAGTACAGCTTATGGACTACATTGGCTCTCCCCACCCCGATGACTTCCCTCCCACCCACAACCCTCCCCTTTCCCGCTCTCTCCCCTTCCATTCATATCACGATTCATTTTCAATTTTTTATATATACAGAAGATCAGTTTAGTATACATTAAGATTTCAACAGTTTGCACCCCCATAGAAACACAAAGTGAAAAATACTGTTTGAGTACTCGTTATAGCATTAAATCTCAATGTACAGCACATTAAGGACAGAGATCCTACATGGGGAGTAAGTGCACAGTGACTCCTGTTGTGACTTTACAAACTGACACTCCTGTTTATGGCATCAGAAATCTCCCTATGCTCCAGTCATGAGTTTCCAAGGCTATGGAAGCCTTTTGAGTTCGCGGACTTCGATCTTATTTAGACAAGGTCATAGTCAAAGTGGAAGTTCTCTCCTCCCTTCAGAGAAAGGTACCTCCTTCTTTGAAGACCTGTTCTTTCCACTGGGATCTCACTCACAGAGATCTTTCATTTAGGTGTTTTGTTTTGTTTTGTTTTGTTTTGTTGTTTGTTTGTTTGCCAGAGTATCTTGGCTTTCCATGCCTGAAATACTCTCATGGGCTTTTCAGCCAGATCCGAATGCCTTTAGGGCTGATTCTGAGGCCAGAGTGCTGTTTAGGGACATCTGCCATTCTATGAGTCTGCTGTGTATCTCGCTTCCCATGTTGGATCACTCTCCCCTTTATTTATTCTATCAATTAGTATTAGCAGGCACTAGACTTGTTTATGTGATCCCTTTGACTTTTAGTCCTTTCATTATGATCAATTGTGAACTGAAATTGATCACTTGGACTAGTGAGATGGCATTGGTACATGCCACCTTGATGGGATTGAATTGGAATCCCCTGGTATGTTTCTAACTCTACCATTTGGGGCAAGTCAGCTTGAGCATGTCCCAAATTGTACATCTCTTCCCTCTCTTATTCCCACTCTTATGTTTAACAGGGATCACATTTCAGTTAAATTTTAACACTTAACTGTGTATTAATTACAGAATTAAACCAGTAGTATTAAGTAGAACAGACAAAAAAATACTAAGAGGGATAATGTATTAAGTTGTTCATTAACAGTCAGGGCTATGCTGATCAAGTCACCGTTTCTCATAGTGTCCATTTCACTTCAACAGGTTTCCTTTTTGGTGTTCAGTCAGTTGTCACCGATCAGGGAGAACATATGATATTTGTCCCTTTGGGACTGGCTTATTTCACTCAGCATGATGTGTTCCAGATTCCTCCATGTTGTTGCAAATGACTGGATTTCATTGTTTCTTACTGCGGTATAGTATTCTAAAGAGTACATATCCCATAATTTCTTTATCCAGTCTACCGTTGATGGGCATTTAGGTTGGTTCCAGGTCTTGGCTATTGTGAATTGAGCTGCAATAAACATTAGGGTGCAGACCGCTTTTTTGCTTGCCAATTTCATTTCCTTTGGGTATATTCCAAGGAGTGGGATGGCTAGGTCGAACGGTAGGGTTATCTTCAGGTTTCTGAGGAATCTCCAGACTGACTTCCACAGTGGCTTGACCAGTTTGCATTCCCACCAACAGTGGGTTAGTGTCCCTTTTTCCCCACATCCTCGCCAGCATCTGTTGTTGGTAGTGTCGCTCCCCATCTTCGTGGAGGAACGACACAGGACCCTGCGGTGTTCTTTCGTCTGCTCGGCCCTCCCCGGGTTTGCTGCTGGTTCTTCCCGGGTTGGCTACTGTCCCTTCCACCTCCGTGGAAGGGCAGTTCCCCCTGGCCACATTCCCCACTTCCGCAGGGGAGCGGCACACCGCCGGCCGGCTCTCTCGGGGGCTGCACAGGTGTTCCCCTTAGATGTTCCCCTTAGATGTTCCTGGTGCATGCCGTCTCTCTCCTCCTTTATAGTCCTCCTCTGCCAATCCCAACTCGGCTGCCCACACGCCGAGTACGCTGCTCTCCTCCAATCAGGAGCAAGTCCTACAGCTTATTGGCTGAACTGGAGGCAGCTGTGTAGAAGCTGTTTTCTCCTCTCCCAGCGCCATATTGTGGGAGAGCAGATGCATAGAATAAGTCTTAATTCCAGTAACTTAGTCTAGTCCAGGTTGCTCCCCACAGGTAGATTTCTGTATGTGAGCCATTCTAACCGGGGTGAGGTGAAACCTCATTGTGGTTTTGATTTGCATTTCCCTGATTGCTAGTGATCTTGAACATTTTTTCATGTGCCTGTTGGCCATTTGGATTTCCTCTTTTGAAAAATGTCTATTGAGGTCCTTGGCCCATCTCTTAAGTGGGTTGTTGGTTTTGTTTTTGTGGAGTTTCTTGATCTCTTTGTAGATTCTGGTTATTAACCCTTTATCTGTTGCATAGTTTGCAAATATTTTTTCCCATTCTGTCGGCAGAAGGTCTGTCTCAGCAAGGCATGAGAATGACAGCTGCAGTCTTCTTGGTGGTTTTAGGTTTTTTGGGGATTACACTCTGCATAAGAAAGCCAGAACTTCCTGGTGGTCCTGCTAATGATTGCTGCATTTCTAATTTTAGGGAAGAGAGCTTAGTCTGATAATCCCCAAAATGTCCATTGCTTTGTAGAATTTTATCAAGCCAAATGTTAAAGTAGGAGAAGGAGTTAATGCTTTACACAAGGTTGAGCTGTTCATGGGGAAAAAAAGTAAAAGGCAACAGGCTCCCTGGTGTATACTTTCTACTAAAACAAAGATAAATGTTATCAAAGCTTTAATTCAATAGGTACACCAAATGCAACAATGGTTAGGATGTGAAAACTGTGGAATAGATCTAAGTGAACCTTTAGATAAGTACAATAAAGAAATTAAAGTTACAGAAAGAACTGCAAATGAGGGGATACATTTTAAAAAGTGCCTGTTTTGAACATTGGGGCTTCTAGTAAAGATTAGATTAGGAAGGTAATACTCTAGCTTCTGTAACCACTTTCTGCATAGCTCAGCAGCACTCCAGGCCTTGGCTTGTGTGGGCAACCCGTTATCTCACACCTGTCTGTGATAGTAATCCATGATCTGAACATAATTTTGAAAATCGTTATCTCCCACCTGTGATTGTAACTCATGCTCTGAATATGCCTTTGAAAATCAAAGAAATTATAACTAGATGAAAATGGAAAAAAACTTGCTATTATAAGAATCATTATGTGACT